ACAATAAATTCTGAAGCATATTAGGTTAACTTAATAAGTTTGACAACATATCATTTTAGTATTATTATTGGGTTGTCTAACATTAAATTTTTATTACTTAAATTACAACAATTAATAATACTTACATAAAATCCTACCTGGATTTATGCAAATAAAAAAATAGTTGAAAAATTGACTAGGAAGGACAATAAAAAAGAAGAAATAAAAAAAGAAAATTACTCCCCGTGCGCGCACGGGGAGTTTTCATTTCCCCGTTCGCGCACGGGGAGATACGAACTCCCCGTGCTCGAACGGGGAAAACCTGTTTCCCCGTGCGCGCACGGGACACTTCCCCAAAAAAAAAGGCGCACGAGGAGTTTTCATTTCCCCGTTCGCGCACGGGAAGATACGAACTCCCCGTGCGCGAACGGGGAAAACCTGTTTCCCTGTGCTCTCCCCGTGCGCGCACGGGACACTTCCAAAAAAAAAAAAAGAGAGAAGCCATTCCCTTCTGCAGCTCCCTCAATCCCTAATTTCTCTCTTCCACCCACCTCCGTTGCATGCCTCAGCCCAAACCAAACCCTAAGCTAATCCCTTCTCCTACACGCACCCATGTAGACACAAGACTTCGACGGCGGTCATAGTGTGGAGGCCGACGGGATGGCGGTGCTTTGGAGTTGCGATGGAGGTGGAATCGAGCCATCTCGAACCTTCCTATATCGCACCATAGGTCGATAAATCCAGTCCACTCTCAGTCCCGTTACTCTCCGCATCCTTCTGTTCCACCTACCTCCGTCGCCTGCGACCACACCGGCTCTTCTTCTTCTGCTCTCCGTCTTTCCGCGGAGACCGTGTCTCCATGTCTCTGCGATGCACTGCGTGGAGAGCCTCTGAAATATAGTTCGAAGTTTGAACTACCGATCTTGTGGATCCTGTTGAATTTGTTTGTTTTCGAATTTTAATTTGTGTGGAATTTATATCTTCTATGTTGTATTATTTACAGGTTCTGATTATACTAATATTTGTGTAGGTCATTGTTGCTCTATCAGAACTCATGGTTTATCGACTCAATGGGTAATTTTGTCTCTATGTTGCCCACCATTTCGATGTCACAAGAAAGGAGCAAGACCAGGCTGCAGTAAGTTTTATTTATTTTTTTACCAAATCAGTTTGTATATAGGTATTTCTGGATGAAAACAGTTTAGTAGCCTATTTAGATTGTCATGTAAATGTTGATAACAAAGTTTATGTTGATGTGTTTAACCTATCAAACAAAAAAGTTGCTGAGTTGTTTGCTATTATTGGCCATAATTCTTAATTTGTTCTATCAAAATCTTTATAAGTAGCATCACTTGTGCTGGACAGACCATCAGTCCTCCAGCTAATGCCATTAAATGTGTTTGCACATTCACGAGCGAGGGAGATTTGAGTTTGTAGTATTGAACTTGTTCATCTCATCCCTTAAGTCTGGTAAATTGATCGTAGATTGACAAAACAAAATTCTAAAGATCTTATTACTGCTGCTTGGCAAAAGTATATGCTTATGCATGTCAGATTTTCAAATGTTGCAGGTATTGGTTGTTTCACTATTGAATGAAGTGAACAATGGGAAGATTACTAGGTCGTACCTTAACAATGAGCAGTAAACTTGAGAATGGAGTATTCATTTACCAAAAAACAGAGCACACAGACATAGTTGAACGAAGCAACAAGATGGGTGTTTTCTTTTCACAATTTGATTTCACAACAAAATGGAGTATTTATTTTTGTTGGAGAAGAAATTTTGGAGTTAATTGGTGGACTGATCTTATCTATTGTTCTAAAGCACGGGTTTCTTTAATTTACCTTTGCTCTCTCCGCTTCACTCACAGAGGCATTTCATCGAACAGGTCGTGTTCTATACCAAAGGACACCATGGACGGTACGTAGTTTTCACATTATTTTTTCCATAAAGGTGGGATTTTAATGCTTTGCTTCTCAGGATGCTATCTTTAGTCTTCAACAAAAGAGAACTTATTTTTCAGCTTTCTGTGTGCTTGTGTATCGAACTTGAAATTTATAGCTATTGATTATTGACGAATTTTCATTTTTATATTTCATTTAGTCGATTCGCATCAGACCATGGAGGAAACTATATTGGTGGGAGATGATTTGATGATCGGCCCACCATCACCACTCATTCCACCTCAAATAACATCTCACGTGCTCGAAGGCGTTGATTTGTGTGATGGGATTTTGAGGAACCTATTTTTATGTAATTCCTTTATTCTCTGAGTTCATTTATTTTGGAACGATTAGAGGCAGGAGTTCTGAATTGAAGATGATCGTTTCCTGTTTGGTTTTATTGCGTAGGTTTACAAATTAATGATATTGAGCCATTTTGTCAAGATGAGACTGCACTATATAGAAAGTGTGCAGAGAGAAGGGTGAGGTTTTAAGGAATTGTAAGCTTAATTTTTTCATTTCACTATTTGTATGATTTATTGCTTTGAGATTTACAAGGATGGTCTTGTATCTGTAGGATATAGAACTAAGACAACGCCTTCAAGAAAGTGAGAAGACACTTGGAACGTCAATGCCTATGGATTAAGCAAAGGAAAGAGCTAATCAGTTGGAATCAGAAGTCACATTGCTGGAGAGGTATGTTCAGTGAACCATGGATATTCTGCAAGGTTTGACTTATAGCCATCTTTTGGGATCTTTCTCCTTTTCAATATCAATTTCTACTGACAATAGGTATGACCACTCATAGTTTTACGTTTAATATTCTCTTGCTGTAATATATATTGTATTACATTCTTGTCTTTCTGTTGCACAGATTTGTACAATTTTCTTAAATGTATCTTTAGCTAATATATATATTTTTTACTTTTTTAGCTTATTTATTTATGTGTGTGGGGACTCATTCTCAATCCTAACATGCTCTGTGTGACCTTATATTCTCGTTGTACAAGGGTAATAAATCATGAGGAAGTCGTATTTTGAAGTTTGGAGAGATTAACACTTGGATAGAGAAACATACCCTTTTGAAAACTATTCATTGAATTGTCCATGGCTATCTAATAAGGTTGGCATAATGAAATGCAGGAGTGCCTATAGCTCAGCATTTCCACAAATCTGACAAAGTGTAGTTCAATGCATTTTCAAAATAATTATTTTCAGCTATGAAACGGTTCACCTATAATTTTACAATTGTTTTAATTCATTATCTCACTTGTCTCATAAGGTGGACAGTCCGCTCCTATCTTACCACGCATGCCCAATATGTTTTATTCTTAAGATAATTTAATGATAAATGAATCAAAAGTGATGAGAAACAATCACTGGTACAATAGGCAATTAATCAGGAACTGC